CAGTGTCACTGGCCCTCATATGTGGGATCCGAACCGGGGCCCTCTGGCGTCCCAAGCCAGCTCTTAACCATCGCGCCACTCGGCCGGCCCTACAAATATATTTTTAGGTGTCGGATTTAAAAAAATCAAGTAGATATGTTTGTTATATTGCGCCTAAGAACAGAATACAGCAGAAGTAATAGGATGGCACTTCCAGGATTAGGTATTAAAAAGACTACAACTTCCATCTTGCTGGCACTCTCTGTCTGCCTGGCTTGCTGGCTTTGATGAAGCAAACTACTATGTTGGAGAGGTTTTTGTGGCAAAGAAGTAAAAGCAGACTACAGCTAATAGCCAGAAAAAACTGAGGGTCTCAGCCCAATAACCCAGGAGGAAATGAATCTGGCAAAGAATCACGTGAGTGAGTTTAGAAGCAGTTGAACCTTACAATGACTATAGCCCAAGCCAACAGAATTACCTTGTTTTTTAATCATGAGAATATAAAAGTTACTAAAAAAAATTATAGACTCAAAATTTCTTTACTCTTCAAATAAAACAGGAACTATATTTAGGTTGACTTTGTTCAGAGAAGAAGGGAAATATTTAAGTTTGGTTGCATGTACATTCTTTGGATGGGTAAAACATACACAATGGTTAAGAGGGCCACAGCCAATGGAGAACAGGTCTCTTATCTCATGAACTAATGATGGGAAGATTCCTAAGAATTTCCACTATTCCCTAAGCAACCACCTATTTGCTGTCACAAAATTATTATATTAATGGCAGTGTATCAAAGCATTCCATTTATAGGTACAAGCAAGTAACCTTCCCAATGGATCTTCACAAGAAATGCCATGGCCTAGGAGTTTGAGATAGAGTGAAGAATACTAGCAGATATGGAGCTGAGTAGATTTTGCCTGTTAAGTGAATTAAGAACTTGTAGACAGCTTCTTACTGAAACTTATTTGCCAGTTGGTGGTTTTAGCTCATTATTGCCTTGATTGGTTCCTTTATTATGTCTGGACCTTCCAAGGGACAAACACAGAGGCCTAAAATGTCACCCAAAGGGCCTTTCCTCAACTTTAATCTAGAGGGCCAAAGTATATGAAATGTCAAGTCTACCTGTCCCAGATCCAAGTCAGGGGGAGTGATGTATGGAGAAGAAATAATTCATGCATGGTGCTTACTTTTTGAATAGATAAGTACTATTAGATTTATGCTAAGTTTAAGAACATTAAACAAGTTAATATATTTATGGGATAGTGTTACTAAATTAAACTATTTAAAAAAAATCCGTAAGACATTTTGGGAATACAAATTGTACATTATTGATATATTAAAAATATAGAAAAATTTGGAATTAACTTTTTACAAGTTATTTTCATGTCTAAAATCTTTGTTTCCTATAGTTTTCTTGTTTAGTGTTTACATAATTTGATAGAAAATTACATAATGACTGTGTATATTTTTTGTCCATTACTAATGAACACCATAAGGGATTTTAACGTGATAGGCCTCCATATTATGAAATAAAACAGAGTTAATTTTTTCTAGTTTCTAATTAAATAAATTATAAAATCCAGACAAAAGATATGTCTACAATACAGGGGACCAAAACAAAGAGAAAATAATTGTAAAATCACATACCTCACTGGCAGACATATTCTTCACTTGTTCTGGTTTCAGTTCTGTAAAATATAAAAGTCAGCCACTTAAGAAAATTTTTTGAAGTTTAAATTGCTGAAGACTAAAACCAAGTATAATGATCTAAAAGCATGTGCTCAATATAACCATTCTATTAAGAGAAACATACATTAATATTAAGAGCACATAATTTACAAATGTTGAGAATAATATTCCCTCTTAGAAGTAACTGGGCGACATTCAATTTCTTTGCATACTTCACAAAAACAACAGATTCTTACAAATTTGAGACTAAACTTAAAAGAATACAACTTGGGGGCCGGCCGAGTGGTGCGATGGTTAAGAACTCGCTTGGGATGCCAGAGGGCCCCGGTTCGGATCCCACATNCAATGATGGTGCCAACTTGGGCCAGTGAAGCAACGTCCTCCACAACTAGACTGTAGAACAAAAGGATAGCAACTTGTCTGTTCCCCTTCCCCCAATTCCCCAATAAAAATATTAAAAAATAATAATAATAATGTCTTTAACTACAACAAGTAGGATTCTTGTACCTGAAATTTTCCAATATTAATATTGCTTATCAAGCTTTTTATATTAATTTGGCCTTATTTCCTGACATTGTAATTGTTTTTGAGCATGTAGAATATAACAAAGCTGAGTTAATAAATATCTATATTTACCTAAGGATTTTTAAAAGGCAAATTGGAATCTGGCACAAAATGGCCAGTATTAAAAATTGTCACTAGTAGATACATGTATATTATCCCCCCTGAATAACAAGTTAAAGGAGAATTTGAGACAAAACTTCAACGAAGGATATTTATCTATAGTCTTTTTATTACTCTTATAAAACCCAGTCTAACTATCACTTTATATTCTCTCTGATATTTCCAAAAGCACAAAATAAGAAAATCACCTACACTTGTAACTTGTGTACAAGCCTAATCTGCAAAACTTTAGTCAAAAAGAAAAAGGATATATTGTTACCACATAATCACCATATGAGCCCTACATATTTCTTCTTTAACTGTAAAACATACACTGGCTCTTCCTAAAGTTCAAAGTGTAGAAGAATGATGAATGTAATGTGGGTATTTTCTATGATATTCCTGAATAAAATTGGTTATAAAAATGAAGGTTTGAAAAGCTTTTAATGAAATTCTAATTTAAGTGTATAGTTTGGTGTATGTATACATAGGAAATTTATATATGGTAATTTAAAGTTAGTAAGAGATTAATGTATATAAGGAAAAAGCAGCTGGTAGCTAGTTGTGCAAAGAGGGAAAATAAATTGCAAAGATGTCTTATTAAAACAAAATAATAAAATAATTAATAAAGTTAAAGTTAAATTGGGTACAGACTGTCTGCTTTAAAAACAAAGTACATTATACCCTAAATTTATAATCAACAATTTCCTGTACTACCTCTTAAAAATACAGAATTTGAACACAATTATTTGAGTGTCTGTTCTTTAAAGACAAAATTAGAATGTCTCACTAAATTTGTGTATAAACACCAGTATTTGACAATACTTAGTTAATAAAGTTGTACCAAATAATGACTGAACAAAATTCTAGTACACAATTTTACAAACCAAAGTACTTGTATTTTCTTCTCATCTCATAAATGCAACGGATAGAATGAATTTCCTTAATCTCCATAATAAAATGTCATTATTGAGTATTTATGTATTTTAAAATTATTTAATAAATACATATATTATTCACTATTGCCAGACTATTTTAAGTGCTTTATAAATATTAACTAATTAAGTCAGGACTCACAGCTAAAAGCTACTACCAAATTATTAACAATAAAACCATTATAGTAAAAATATCTTAAACTGGATAAAAGTATACAGTAGAACCAAAAATTATAACAATGTAACCTGACTGTACATAATTAGTGGGGTAGTACCAGTAATCTTATTTCTTGTAATTCATTTGGAAGTTTCAATTTTAGCATTGTTAACTGAAATTTAGTTTAAAATAATGTATGGCTTATATATTTCTAAAATAGTGGATACAAATATATATATATATATATTTTTTTTTTAATTGATTATGGGTCTTATAATTTCCCTGCATACTTAGTAATTGTTTACTGTGTACTGGGCTTTGTGGCTGACATGTTGTGAAGACTCTGGATTCTGTCTTCTTCTAAACACTGTTTAGTTCTGTTAAATTACTGACAGATAACCTTGATGCTGTGTAAGCTTGATTTTAGGCTTTGTGACAGTGAGTTTCCTTCCATTCTGCCCATAGTCCTAAAGCACAGCCCTTACTTCTAGGATGTTGTCCTTCCTCCTATGCATGGCCCTTTTTGAATTTCAGTGGGAAACCTTAAGTGTAAACCCCTCCTACTGGAATTTGAATTTTAAACTCTGTATTATTCCCCCAGCAGTTGCTACCTCTGCTCAGTTCCTCAGACTTCAATTACTGTTTTCTGCTGGATTCCTCTGAAAAGCACACTGCACAGGTACAATTTGAAAGGAATTTGTAGGCAGATCCTGGGCTTCTATCTCTGAAGCTCTCTAGATTTCCCTCCTAATTTCCAGCTGGTCTAGAAGTCCCAAATGCCTCTTCAGCCCAGCAAGACTGTCACACTCTGCTTCAATTCTATTTCCAAGCACATCACACAAACTGGAAATTGCCCTCAGGGTAAAAGCTAGTTAATGTGGATCTCTTCTAGTATGTGATTTTGTGCAATGTCTGCCTGTTTTGATTGCTCTCTAGAGTCTTCTAATCATTTTTATATTTTGTTCAGAGTTTATAATTGCTACTGGCAAGAGAGTTAGTCCAATACAAGCTACTCCTTCATTACCAAACTGCAACATCTGAAATCTCAAAACGTTATCAAATTGAAAAATTAAAGACAAAATAAAGTTTATAATTTATTTCCAATCCATTAGGATAAAACCCACTTTATGCAACTGAACCTTTTAGTTCATTTCTTCAGAAGTACAAAAGACCAGATTAAAATTGAGACAAGCATTTAAAGGAAAATCCTTTGACTCAGAGTCCAAAAACAAACTGTAAATGATTCATTCTACCAAAAGAATTAGTTTTTGTACAAAATATAAAGAATTTTACATTATAAACAAAGACCACTGTATATTTACTTAAATTAGAATTCTAGCATCTGCTTTTCCTCCGATTCCTCCCAAGCACAAAACATTTGCAAGTCAGAAATCTGATAACCTCAATGGGCAAACTGTCTTAGAGTAAGTTTTTACCCTTAAGATACCTTGAAAGTTAATATCGATTCTTTCCCTTGGCTTCAAGTTCAGTACATCAATAAGTTTTAATTTAGTTTATAAAACTCTGCCATATTAACATGAAGAGCACACTAAAATTTAATGTTTAAGCATTTCCTTTTAGGAAGTAATATGACACAGAGCTCATTGCAAAATCTGAAAGTTTACAATCTAAGTCTAATATTAATTCAGAAAACCTCAGCAACTTCTATCTTTATTGAAAAAGACCAAACTACACTCTTACGCTTCCTACTATATATCATTATCCTATTTTCATGGCCCTTCTATGAAAGAAACACAGCTTAAAATAAAACTTGGTCATAGTAAGTCATAGAAAATAAGTCTCTAACACTAAGCTCAACTTCAGATTTTATCAGGAAAGTAAAATAACTTCTGTACATGAATGGATATTCATACAGTAATATAATTCTCTGACTCAATGTTTATGACAATATTAACTTGACTTTTACATCTTTTAACATTTGAAATCTTTGTTACTTAAAAACTTTCCCAATAAAATAGTGAGCTACATTAAAATATTGCAGATAGAATGATAATTTTAAAGATTATATTTTAGAAGTTGAGCTTGAAGCACAGACCTTTACTATGACTAAACAGTTATCCAAGTATCAGTAACATTAGTCCTTTTCTAAATGAAAATACAAAAAAAAATTTTATGAGCTTTACTGAACATGTTTTAATCTGGGATGTTCCCAATACTTGTCATCATGTATATTTATTTCATCATTACCTTTGATTATCAATATTTTGTAATTGATGCATTACTGTTTGAGCCCTTAAAAAGATACTACTTAGGACCTCAGAAATATGCATGGTTCTGGCTTAAATTTTTTTTATAATTTATCTCAACTGTAACTCTCATTTTTATTATCCAGGGTGTTCTGAAGTCATGATTAGAAGAGACATGATTTAAATTATGCCTACAAACTCCATATGATGTTAAGAAATTATACATCTTGTATATTTAACAAGAGTAAAATTAAGAATGTATGTCTTCATTATAAAATTCTTATCTAATAGGGGCTAGGTTTTAATTTTCATTTGTTCTCTCAAAACCAAAGATATTTTTGCTAAATGAAAAAGCTTTGTTACTACTATGAAATTACTCTTTCCGCCCATGACATTTCACATAAAAGCACCAAAGAAAATTTCTGTAAACAAACTTTTAACCAGTAAACTAAGGGCAAATATCCATTTGCCTTTATTACAACGTTTAAAAGGCCATGATATGAGTCTGTACTTCCTAATGACATTTTTATAATAAAAATCCAGGCATACTTATACAAACAAGAAATGAAATTACTGTACATTTTGAGGGAACAAAAGGCAGATTAACAGACTGAAACTTTTTTGTTAACAAAGTGAGCACAAGAAACCTATAAAATGTATGCAATGTATAAAAATTCAGTAAGTTTTTAAAGTTTCATTGAAGGGATTAATAATTATTAAGAATAAAAGATGGTAGATCCACTGGCTTATCATTATCCTGTAAACAGTAAGAAAGTAATAAGCAATAAATTAGAAATGCCTTAGCTTCCAGTACTTCCCTTCTCTTGCACAGGGATCATTTTTACAACTGTTAAAATTGGCTTTTTTAAATATTAGAGTAATTATAGCAGAAATAAATACCATTAGGAGTAAGTTAACAGTCTACAACAGATTTTGACACATATATTAGAAAAAGAATACTGCAGGTCACATGAGGATTGATCTACATGTTGTATGACAGAGTGACTCAAAACTTCCAAGCTTCTCTATTTTACAAGATTTGTTTTGCTGCTATCATATTGCTTTCTAAATTTTTTGGTAGAAAGGTACTGGAAAAATAAAAAGTAAAAAGAACACAATTGTTTAATGTCTGTAGATTTATGAAGAAAAAGCCTTCAAAATTCTTTCTCCTATTACTATTACACAGAAAAAAGTTTCTTTTGGCACACGATTTGTAAACAGAAAAGGGGAAAAAAAGGATCTTAAGAGTGTTTGGCATTCTAATCACCCACAGTAAAGACAACAGTAGGAAAGGAAAATAGGAAAAATTACTATTTTAAGAAAAGACGTCAAAAGACAACCAACCAACAGCTCTTGTGTCTTCTACTACTTACTGTCTCTGGAGTACTTTTGTCTGCAACACAATATACAAGTTATTATTTACATTATGATTATATTGGTAAAGAACACCATAATCAGTTTCTATTGTGCTCTGACTTACAGTGCCCATCGGGATAACCATGACCATCAAAGGCAAGAAGGCCTTAAACAAAATATTCCATGTGCATTGTATATTTTATTTAAATTTGTTTTATGGTTCATCTTCTGGGATGCACAAATAATTATAAGACTCTGAAAAGTCCTGTAAACTTAGGCTGGGTTTCTTGTAGTTGATAACTATGCATTGAAGATGGTGTTTCTCTTGGAAAACAACATTTTCTGCAGGCTGACAAAGGTATTTCCTTAAACAGTGGTATCTCCAAAGTCCTTGTTCCAACGTATGTATGCTTCTAAGGTTTGAGGGCTCACACTGCGTTTTATCTTTTTCAAGGACTCAGTGAAGTCAGATAATCGAATATTTCTCATCTAGATTTTTAAAAAAGCACACAACAATACAAATGATGAATATATATACAGTAGTTAACCCAATAATGGATTAAAGCAAAGATGCTATTTATTAATGTTATAAATATATACAGCTGTAATCTTAGAAAATCATGCCAATCATCTTATTTTACATATTATTATGTATGAGGCAAGATTGTTATTAATATAAGCAATCTTACAAAAATGCTATACTAATATACTTTCATTATATGTGTTTAATTTCTTAGGCATTAACATTTGAATTCATAATATGTTCCCATTATAAAAACAAGACACTCACAGAAAATTTGACAAAATATAGACAAGCAGGAAAAACAAATCACTCACTCACAGTTCTACCATTCAGATATACAACCACTCCTTATCTCCCTCTAATTTTTTTTTTCTGTTTATAGTTTCACAGAATTTTGCATTTTCAAGTCTCACTCACAACATACTCTAGCTAAAATTCATGCCAGGTTTATTAGAAAGGAAAGGGGGGTTTTACAAGAAGCACACGGGACTTTTAAGAAAATATTGTCTTTAGGCCGGCCGAGTAGCTCACTTGGTTAAGAGCCTGCTCAAGAGTGCAAGCTCTGAGCAACAGTGGTTCGAGTCCCGGCCCGAGATGAGCTGCTGCTGAGCTGCGAACAGCTCAGCTAATAATAATAATAATAATAATAATAATAATAATAATAATAATAATAATAATATTGTCTTGGGCCAGCCAAGTGGTGCGTTGGTTAAGAGCTGGCTTGGGACGCCAGAGGACCCTGGTTCGGATCCCACATATGAGGGCCAGTGACACTGCCCTCTACAGCTAAGATGGCGAACAACAGCTCAACCTGGAGCTGGGCTGCCGTGAGTCGNGTTCCCCTTTCCCCAATTCCCCAGCGCTGTTCCCATCCCCCCAATTCCCCAATAAAAATCTTTAAAAAAAAAAAAAAAGAATACAACTTGGTCTTTACAAAAGGCTTTAGCTTTTTTTTTTAACCCAACAACTTTTGTCTGCTTCAGAAAATAGCTAAAATATTCTAAAAAATACACATGACTTACACATTAGCTGTTTGTTTGTTTTTTAAAGATTTTATTGGGGAATTGGGGGAGGGGAACAGACAAGTTGCCATCCTTTTGTTCTTCAGTCTAGTTGTGGAGGACATCGCTCCACTGGCCCATGTTGGCACCGTGATCACTGAGCTCTTCCAGGGTGAGGCAGCTGCTCACTGGCCATTGGACGGCCACTCACGGCAGCTCACAAAAGCTCATGCCCACTGCCGGCCAGCCCCGCTGCAGCCCATGCCATTGCCAGCGACCCACGGCAGCCCAGCTCCAAGTCGAGCCATAGAGGGCGCAGCACCACTGGCCCTCATGTGGGATCCGAACCAGGGCCCTGCTGCTCAGAGCTGGTGTCCCAAGCCAACTTCTAACCAACGCGCCACTCGGCCAGCCCTAGCTGTTGTTTCTGAGTCCACTATCTGAACAAGACTTCATACCTCTGTCAGCAAGAAAGTTTGACTAAAATGCTTTACCCAGAGTTTCTATATTCTCAAAGTTACATTTATTATTCTCCAGAGCAGCAGTTCTTAATCAGTACCCTGTTTCACTGTAAGAGACGTGTTCTGAAAGTTGCATATTCCATGTTCTTTTTTATCATTATATCTAGTAAACTGATGCATACCTGAAAGCGTCACCCATCCACTGTCTATGCTGGCTGTGGACAAGTAACTTAGCATATCTATTCTGAAGTGATACCATAGTGTGTTTACTAACCTCACCTAAAAATCATCAGTTTGGTATTTAAGAATCAATAAATTACCTTGAATCAAAATATAGCAATGAATGATATGTTTTGCTTTAATTCCTCAAAAGTTTACAAATGATAAAAGTATAAATAGTTATATAAGTTCTCTTAGACATTAATTTCAAGTGATATTAGAATACTGAAATGAAGAGCCCAAAAAGGTTAAAAACATTTCCCCTTTATTTTTTGCTTGCTTAAAAAAGTTTTCCTTTTCTTTGCATTTTCTTCTGCTTATCTGCTATGAAGAAGTGAAACCTGTTGTCTAGAACAGGGGTCATGGTCCAGAGAGCTATGGACTGTCTTTGTATGTTCTTTGAGCTAATAATGTTTTCACATTTTGGGGGCTGGCGAGGGGGGGATAAAAAAAAATGCAACAGAGAGCATATGTGGCCCACAAGCCTAAAATATTAACTATTAGGCCCTTTATAGAAAAGTTTGCTAGCCCTAAGTCTAGAAACTACTTTGTATCAAGTTTTCCATTGATATAGCTATATTGTTTTCCTACTACCGTATTTGCCGGCGTATAAGACGATTTTTTGGCCCTGAAAAATATGCCTCCAAGTGGGGGGTCGTCTTATACGCCAGGTACACTTCAGATAGACTGCCCATAGTGCTTGCCCCGTGCCATAGTGGCCTCCCGATGCCCGCCCACTTCATTCCACATACCGTTCAGGCATCAGCAGCGCTGCTGGGTGTATGCTCGGCTGTTATGCGATTTTGCTGTTATGCGATTTTACCACACTCGCAAAATCGCACACAGCCGACCATATAACAAACTCTGTATTTTGAGTGGAAATGTTAGGGGGTCGTCTTATATGCCGAGTCGTCTTATACGCCGGCAAATACGGTAATCAAGATCTCTCAATAGGGGCCTCTTAAACTTAATTGGTCTAATAAAGAGTTATAAATGCTTCAAGCTCTGTATACCTACCTCGGATAGGACCCAGCGCTGCATCTTTTGCCAAAGCTGTTAGATCACTTCCTGAGTATCCATCGGTCATTCTGAAAATGGGCAAAAGAGCAAATTTTTATCTTTGCAGATTTAAAATCTCCATGTAATAAGGGGGTAAAACCTAGTTTGCCTTTGTCATCAAGCAGACTGCTAAGTGATTTGATTTTAAGGGCACAGAAAGGCCCACTTGCTAAAAACAAAACAGTCTGTTGTTGGCTCCTTGTATATAATGCCTCAAATTTTCATCATTAGAACCATTCCTTTAGATTAAGGCATACTACATCTATTGGAGGCTCCATCAAATTGTAAACACACCCCTGGAAGGTAACATCTATAAACCACTGCTGGCCAACTGATGCATATTCACAACTGCTTCTATGTAAGTTCATGAGTCTCTGTTTTCACAAAGAGCACTGCCTTGATGGAATGAGGGCCAACTGAAGTGGAGTTTTTTAAATGTAGGAAAGACAGGATGAAGGAAGGGACTGTTGTAGAAGACAGTGATAAAAATACGCACAACTGAGTGGGATGCCATAGAGGAGAAGCTTGGGCAGCCAAGAGATTACCAAAGTGAACTAAGAACTAGGGAGGCAAAGGGGAAGAGGAAAATAAAACAGAAAAAGAAAGCATTTTCCTACCATGTACTATGTTAAATAAGTACACAGAACAAACATTATTAGCAGAATTCTTTATTGGAATGACAAAGAACGATCTTAATATTTCCAAGTATTGGATTTGTTCTTTTTTCATAGTTATCTGGAAACTGTTCTCACTAAAATTACTGGCTGCTCACACACTTGTTAAATATTTTAAATTATGGGCCGGCCAAGTGGCTCAGTTGGTTAAGAGCTCGCTCAAGAGTTTGAGCTCTGAGCAACAGCGGTTCAATGCCCGGCCCGAGCTGAGCTGCCGCTGAATGCCAACAGGTGGCAGGATGGCTCAGCTAAAAAATAATAAATAAATAAATAAATAAATAAATAAATAAATATTTTAAATTACTTTATGAGATTTTTCAGTGACTAAAGTGCATCTCCCATATTCAGTTTCTATTTAAGCATACTGCTCATAAAAAAAGTTGGAAGATGTGAAAGTTATAAAAAATTATGTGTAATGCAAATGAACACATTTATATAAAAATATGTTGGTGTGAGAAGAGATGAGATTAAAATTTTTTTAAAAATTACTTTAATACCACTTACATGTTTTAATAAGTTTATAAAAAGAACATACTATCATCATTAGATATTTAGGACATGTCTTATAAAGGATCTAGAAATTGAAATTAGATACCATATATATATATATATAAGGCTAAGAGATCAAGAGAATCAAAGGAAGTAGGGGATGAGACAAGAAATTTTCTGATACATTACTCATTTCATACTTGAGCTTAAACAAAACAGCAAAATAATTCTTTTTAAAAAAAGCTGTAAGACAGACCAAATCAAATTACTCACCTAGCAAGTTGCGCTAGTTCTTTTTGGGTCAATGGGCTTCCCTGTTTACATAATAGATTTTTAAGTAAAAGTAGTCGTGTCTGCAAAAGAAATATTACAGAATTATTAGTCCTAAGAATTAGCTTAATAAAATACCAGGAATCAGGTTCAAATTCTGACTATCATTTAGGAATTGAGTGATCTTACACAAATCATTCTACCTCTTAGAGCCTCACTCATGCCTATTAAAAGTACCATTTTGTTCCTGAGAGAGTTAAAGATAATCCAAATTAAGCACTAAGGACGTAGCTGTGGTTACTACCAAGGATGTTAAGGGTCTGAGGCAGACAACCACAATTAAAAAAAAAAATTTTTTTTATAGAGGTATGAATTCATATAACATGAATCTCTCCCATCGTAATATATAATGCAATGACAATAAATTTAGAGTTGTGTAGTCATCACCATAACCTACCTAGTTTAGAATATTTCTATCACCCCAGAAATTTCACTCATTTCTGTTTACAGTTAATACCCACCCCTAGCCTTAGCAAACCACAATGTGCTTTAAGTTTCTAGAAATTTGCCTTTTCTGAACATTTCATATAAATGGAATCATATAACATGTAATCTTCTGCATCTGGTGTCTTTCACTTAGTATGTTTTTGAGGTTCACCCATACTATAGCATGTAAAAGTAGCTCATTCCTTTTATTGCTAAACAGTATTCCATTAAATGGATATACCTCATTTGTTTATCCATTTACCAATTGATAAGTATTTTAGATTCTTTGATGTTCTGGGCTATTATTTATAATGCTGCTATGAAAATTCTTATACATGTTTTTGTGTAGACATATGTTTTCATTTCTCTTGGGTAGATTCCTAGGAATGGAATTGGAGGGTCTTATGGTAAGTTTATGGTTATCTTTTTAAGAAACTGCCAAACTGTCTTCCAATGTGGCTGTACCATGGATTGGAAGACTCAGTATTGTTAAACGTGGTAGTTCTTGTTTCTGCTTAAAAAAAAAAAATTCAAATATAGATACATACCTCCTCATTTGGCAAAGACACATATACCCGTTTGGTAAAACGCCTAAAAAAAGGATTTAAGCAATTCAGAAAAATAGTTTTGAATTTAAAGGTAACTCAGTTCATGTAGAAAATAATAAGAAAAAACCTTTAAGTATAATGCTCAAGGCATCTGAATGCATTTTAGTAGTCCTAAGTGTAAAATGTTATTTTTAGGAGTTACTTTTTAAAAACTCGCTAGTTAATGTTAAAAAACGCTTAAGTCAATTATTGTCAGAATTAAATTAACCATTTATATATGTGCATGTTTTTAACAGCAATAAAGCAAAATATTGAACAGCTTTAAAACAAAATAGCTGATAGAAGTAATTTAATAGATCATTGCTGTCTTTTTGAAACTAAAAACAACTAAAACCAACAAGGTCAACAGAAACAGAAAAGTAAACTTCATCATCAAGAAATCAAGTGGGGCTGGCCGAGTGGCTCAGCTGGTTAAGAGCTCACTCAAGAGTGTGAGCTCTGAGCAACTAGCGGTTGGATTCCTGGCCTGCAATGAGCTGTCGCTTAGCTGCCAACAGGTGGCAGGATGGCTCAGCTAAAAAAAAAAAAGAAATCAAGTTGACATTTATGGAACTAAAAAAGTATGACGAACAGCTGCCTAGGACAGTGACAATTACACCGACAAAGGAGGATACACACAGGATCTGCCACTGCAGATTACAGACATGGGTGTCAGAGCATAGAGTTTTCAAAGGAAACAGAGAAAGCACACTCTGAGGGGTAATAAAACCAGTCTCCCCACATTTAAACCTGCATGTGAGGACTGGCTCCACAGATCCTGTGAATGCTTGCCAGGAGCAGGGTAACAGCAAGAGAGGTGAGGCTGAACACAGAAACTCAGACACATCATCTTTGTAAGAAGACATCAGTCAGTCTGGCAAGACGACAAGCTGTCTTGCAGTGATCAATCTTTGTAAGTTGAAGAAGACTAAATCAACCTAACCTATTTACACACACACACACACACACACACACACACACACACAATTTATCAGGCAGGGCTTTACTGTTGAATCAGGGAAAATTGTCTGTTAGTCCAGGGTATTCATAGGACAACTCAAAATATTTGCTTAGTATCTTACTTTTCTAGCTCTTCTCTTATAATATCATCCCAAAACTAGGTTTTCAAAAAAACTTTCCTGATTCAAATAAAAATCATAAGCAAAACGGGCAATAGCACAGGGCTGATTTTTTTTTAAAAAGTGTCAAAACAGAAGAAAAGAATACAAAAAATGTAACAGATATAATGAACATGCACAAGAGGATTTTGCCATAAAGCAAATTAAAATTGTAACCAAATGTCTTTCCATGAAATATAGTTTAATGAAAAAAAAGTCTTCTATGAAACAAGAGTTCAATAAGATATAAGGCCTCAAAGAAATGACATACACAATGGCTCAAGGAAATCAACAGAAGATGAAAAATGGGATCACAGAGATCAGAAAAGCAATGAAAAAGAAAATAAAACCACCACAGAAACAAAGGTTAAAAAGTAGTAGCAGGAAGGAGATTAGACACTAACCAGTAAGAAATAATTACAACAAACAAGAAAACAGACATAACAAAATAAAAAGGCCCTAAAAGTTAAAAAGGGTTAGCAAGGAAATTACAGATATGGAAGAGAAAAAGCTGCAACATAGTGTATAAATAGTACATAGAAGAAAAATTTTTTTAAAAAATTAGAAAAAAAAAAAAAAAAAGGATAGTATTCAAAATAACTTTCCCAAAACAAAGGATGTTCTAAACTGTCAATTTAAACAAACACCAAATCCCAGGAAAAATAAACACAGATCAATCAACATATTTTTCAAATAACTGGATTTCCATACTTGAAAACTGTATCCAGTAAGAAGAAAAAACATTAAATTAATCCATAAGTGTGAATACAAGCAGGCTGGCTTCAGACTTTTATACTGCAGTATCCCATCCTAGAAATAATGGGTCAATGTTATAGATTCCTCAGGAAAAGAAAGGGAGGTCCAAGAATTTTATGCTGAGTCTAACTGTCCTTCCATAGGAAGGGGACAAATTTGTTCAATACACAAGAACAGAGAACATGACACAGTTACCACGAACCTTGCTTTTATCAGCTTCTAATAAAGCCCAGTAAAAAAGGGTAAGAATCAATTTTGGAGTTTTAAAATAATTTAATCCAACCCAGAAAAAATAACTAATTTGCCTAAAGCCATAAAATGAAGAGTCACCTTACTGATACCATGCTGGCCCTGTCCTCAAAATCTTTAGTTGGTAAACAAGAGGCGAGAAGATGGATATAGGGAGGCAAATATTGAATTTAGCCTTCAAATCAAGAGGGAAGGAAATAAGAAATATGTGAAATGAACACATGAGTAAGTATGTCTGCTGTAATAAATATGCGTGTTTCTACGTAAATCTCCCTACCTGAGAACAGCCTCATCAAGCTCTTGTGGCCTATTAGTCGCACCCATTACAAGTACTCTGTCATCTCCAGCAGACTGTACCTATAAGCCAAAAATTTTTTCTCAGTACTTTTAGATAAAATAATAACAAAGAGAAACATAATAAAGATATCTGTATTTCTAATTTGGGTCATTTAATAGGAAAATACATACACTAAAATGCTTTCATATTAAAAATATCATAATCAATACTTACACCATCAAATTCTATTAGGAATTCAGTTTTTAGACGTCTACTAGCATCATGTTCTCCTTCTCTTCTTTCACACAAAAGGCTATCAACTTCATCTAGAGGAAATACAAGGATAATACTTGAATCAAAAGCCAACCTGTATGAGTCATCTGAGATTAATCTAGTTTACTATTTAAGTTATTAATGTAGTGGGTCCTACTCAATTCATTAATCTTTAACTTTGTGCTTCTTTAAAACTTTTTTCTTCTTAATAATCTTTCCTGGGCCAACCAAGTGGTGCGTTGGTTAAGAGCTGGCTTGGGACACCAGCTCTGAGCAGCAGGGCCCTGGTTCGAATCCCATATGGGGCCAGTGACACTGCCCTCTAGAGCTAAGATGGTGAACAACAGCTCGATCTGGAGCTGGGCTGCCATAAGCTACCATGTGTGGCTGGCAGCCAGCATGAGCGGCTGCCAGCCGGTGTGAGCTGCCAAGAGCCGCCATGAGCGGCGTCCAGAGGCCGGAGACCGAACTGCCTCACCTGGGAAGAGCGCAATGATAATACCAACATGGGCCAGTGAAGCAACGTCCTCCACAACTCGACTGAAGAACAAAATGACAGCAACTTGCCTGTTCCCCTTCCCCTAATTCCCCAGCACTGTTCCCATCCCCCAATTCCCCAATAAAATGTTTAAAAAAAATAGTAATAATAATCTTTCCTATCATCTCTCTTATATTTGGAGAGGGGAGTTAGTTTCGCAAAGGTTCAACTAACTGAGCTGGTAAACATGTTCTTACCTATAAAAATTATAGAAGGTTGAAGTTCTCGAGCAACAGCAAAAAGAGCTCTCACCAACTTCTCTCCTTCTCCCACCTAAAACAAGACATTATATACATTATTATACATATATATAATGTAACATTATTCTAGCTTTTAAAATTTCATGGTTGAAAGTCTAGAATGTAGGAATTTAAATTCCTTTCTTTGCAACAACTAAAGATTTGGTTTAAAGAATTGGGAAGGAGGGCAAGAAAGGTTACTGAAATATCCCTTATAATTTTAAAAAATAGGCTATTTATTATTTAGTACTGTCTGGTAAGTACTTTAAAAAATAAAATTTAGGGCCGGCCGAGTGGTGCGTTGGTTAGGGGTTGGCTTGGGATGCAAGTTCTGAGCAGCAGGGCCCTGGTTCAGATCCCACATGGGCCAGTGATGCTGCACCCTCTACAGCTAAAATGGTGAACAACAGCTCGACCTGGAGCTGGGCTACCGTGAGTTGTCGGCGATGGCATAGGCTGCAGTGGGGCTGGCCAGCAGCAGGTGTGAGGTTTCCTGAGCTGCCGTGAGCCATGGAGAGCGGCCATCCAATGGCCGGTAAGCAACTGCCTCACTCGGGAACAGCGTAATAATACCAACATGGGCCAGTGAAGCGACATCCTCCACAACTAGACTGAAGAACAAAAGGACAGCAACTTGTCTGTTCCCCTTCCCCAATTCCCCAATGCTGTTCCCCTCCCCTAATTCCCCAATAAAATATTTGAAAATATTAAATAAATAAAATTTTTCTCCATTTCTAAGACTCGAGAATGAAACAGCTGTTTGTCAAAGGTATGACAAGTGGGACGAGAAAATATTAGGGGAGAGAAAGAAATGCTGTACGTCTTACTTCAGCCCTAGGTTGCAGGGTGTTTTTATTGAAGGAGGTAAGTTAGAAAGTGCCCTCCTGAAAAAAACTTGCTCTATTAAGAACACCTTGGCTGTTGGTGGGACTGCAGACTGGTGCAGCCATTATGGAAATCAGTATGGAGGTATCTCAAAAAAAACTGGAAATGGAACTACCGTATGACCCAGCAATTCCACTATTGGGTGTCTATCCAGAGAAACCCAAGATGTTAATCAGAAAAAATATATGCACCCCTATGTTTATTGCAGCGCTATTCACAATAGCCAAGACTTGGAAACAACTGAAATGCCCATCGGTAGATGACTAGATTAAGAAACTGTGGTACATTTATACAATGGAGTATTACTCCACTATAAAGAAGAATGAAATCATACCATTCGCAATGATATGGATGGACCTAGAGACTATTATGTTAAGTGAAATAAGTCAGTTAGAGAAAGACAAATACCCTATGATCTCACTTATATATGGAATCTAAAAAACTGAATGAACGAGCAAAGTAAACAGAAGTGGTCTCAGAGATATAGAGGAACAACTGATGGTTGCTAGCTGGGAGGTGGGTGGGGATGAGGGAGAAAGGGAAGAGGTTAGACAGCATAAATAGGTAACTACAATATTGCCACAGGGATATGAAAAACAGTTCGAGGAATATAATTAATAATGTAAATATTTTGTAGGGTGTCAGATGGTCACATGTCTTGTTAGGGAGACTGCATCACAGATGGGGTAGAGGCTTGATCACTGCACTGTACACCTGAAGCTGATGCTGTATAATATTGTATGTCAACTATAATTGAATATATATATATATAATATATATATATATATAGGAAGAGAGAGAGAGAGAGAGAGAGAGAGAGTGTGTCATGGGACATGGAGTCAACGGAATTGCAATAGATATGGATGATATTGGTGGGGGGAAGTGGGGCAGCGGATTGGGGGAGGGGGGTTGTCACTTCAAGGGGCAAAAAGTATAACTACTGCACTGTGTTGTACAGCTGAAACTAATTTTAAAAAATGTGTATTTCACAATAAAAAAATTAAAAGAAAAAAGAACTCCTTGGAAACTCATTCTCACAGTATCACTCTCAATAAGTATCAAAATATTTCTAGGTAGTCCAGGAGGTCTAGGAACACCCCTTGAGACCCTATACTAAAACCATTCCATACACCAAAGCATTTAATAAAAGGTTCATGAGGTTTGAGGTAATTTACTGTAAAAATTCTTCTGTCCTCTAGGTGGCATCTATTCTTTATTGAAAATTTCATTAAAAAAAAGGGCTCCAGATTTACCATCATCAAAACAAATATTATCAGAGCATGGCAGGAATCGCAAGAGATCACCTCTTATGACTTCAACACTTTATAAATGAAGTAAGGTCTGAAGTAATACTTTAAGGCCAGCTCAGTATGTAAAAGTTAGGTTGAAGTCCCTATCTCCTAACTTCCAAGACAGTGTTCTCCATTATATTATGTGCATGATGTGAATAAACCTATTCTAATAACAATTTTACTTATAAAAATTCACATAGGAAATAAGCAGTATCATTTTATAGTTAACTTTAAATTACAAAATTGATAACCTTGCTAATACCTAAACTTGGACTTCTAGCTTCCAAAACTGTAAGACAATAAATTTCTGTTGCTTAAGCCAGCCAGTTTATGGTACTTTGTTACACAACCCTAGCAAACTAATACAGTATTTGACAGCATAATTCTAATTTTAAATGAGCCTAACAAATGCACATGGCTTTCTACTATGAAGAGTGATATTCATCATTTCTGAATCATAGATATAAAACTCATACACAAATATTTTTGTATAATGTTATTACCACTACTTAACACAGTAACATTTAAACAGTAACTCAAAACATGACAGTACAGGAAAGATCACTCACATATTTTGAAGTTAAACTCGCAGCACTTATATTAAAGAAGGTTGCATTCGATTCTGCAGCTACTGCTTTAGCCTTTAAAAATCACAAAGGCAAATATTACATTAGTTCAATATCTTGCTTTAAAAAGATAATCACATTTAATCAATTTAAGTATTAGAAAATATTTTCTAAAAATACAAGGTATGACACAATTCCCAATACACGGCAATCAATGTATTTCCTTCTCAGCAATGAGGAAAAGATCTAGGAAGAGCTGTGCTTCTTTCCACGCTCTTTTTTCCTAAGGGAGAATGGGTAGGGAGAGGTTAAAAATAAGAGGGTATTATTCTCTCCCTAGTTTCAGAAGGATAACTGGCTAATGAGAAAGATAAACAGCTAAGGGAAGAAGTTACTCTTTCCCTATTTTCTTTTTCCATCTAGAAGAGCTATGCAGGAGAAAGAGATACCCAGATCCCAGTAAAAACTTTCGGCAAAAGGATACTGAGGGAAAAATAAAATCTGCTGCATGTTCATTATACTTCAATTTAAAAAAAAAGAAAAAAATCTGTATCATGCTGATTATTTAAATAAAGCTGTTAAGATAGTAAAAAATCAAGTTAGAAAGTATTCAATATAGTAAAGTAAGCTAAAGTAAAAATTTTGTTATTTAACTTGGGAAAATAATAAAAACTACACTGTTAAATTTAACTATCCCAAAACATATGACAAAAGATAACATGTATGGTTTTCCAATTATTTTGTCATTGAGAACTAGTTTAAGAACTTAAGAGAAGTATATTACAGCAAAAAAGCAAGTCATAAAAGACTCAGGGATAATGTAAAGTTTTTAAAATATACATTACTGTCCCGAATATCTTAAAAGAACATTCAAATTTAAAAAGAATTCTTACCAGCATTGTTTTCCCATTTCCAGGTGGACCAAAGAGTAACAATCCTCTGGCAGGAGCTCTAAGCCCTGTGAACAACTTAAAAATATATACACAACTATAATTCTGAAGACACTTTTTCCCAGACATTTAAAGGATTATTTGTCATCTAAAAAGCACCATTTTTAAGTAGCATCCTCCCAAACAGAAGAGAACACATAATCAATAAACTAGTATAATTATTAAAACAGAAGAAAACAAATGAAATAAAACCAAATCTTTATTAATCAAAACGAAAGCAGACTGGTTAAACAAAACATATTAAACATAGGTATGCTTCTCTGCTTCCTTTAGAAATCTCACCAAAAGAACAGTAAATGAATAAAAAAGATAAAAATCTTCAAAACAAAAACAGGAAAGGAGACAACAGAGGACACAATGAATTTTTGTAGATGGAGAACTGATAGTGTGGTAAATTATTTAGCACAGCTGCAGGAGCTGCTTGTGAAAGGATACCCAGATACAAGGAGCAAGCTGATGTGAATAAAAAACCCTGGAAAAGGTTAGGACGTGAAGGCATCAGGTACTGCAGAAAGCAGCAGCCCAAACTGATTCAAAGTTTGTATGAGGAACAACTGAACCTATGTTCTTGCCGCCCCCCAAGAGCACTTAGGCAAGTACTCCTCTTCCACAACCAAAGGAGACAGAAGTTTTATTTTAGAGAAATTAAACCAGTCTCCAGTCTCAGGGACATCAGGTATGGCAGGAGTCAAGGGTGAAGCACCAGACTGGTAACACTTTACTTACCAGTGAAGGTGTATGAACTTTTAAGTTGAACCATTTGAAGTGGGTGATATTCAACTTTTTAAAAAAACACTTTTTTGGGGGGTGGGGGAGTAGGTTTACAGAAAATTGAATGGAAAGTACAACAGAGTTCCCATAAAACTCTTCACCTCCTCATTTCCCCCTATTATTAACATCTTGCATTGGTGATACATTTATTACAACTGATGAACCAATATTGATACATTATTATTAACGCCCATAGTTTACATTAGGGTTCACTGCTCATATCATGTATCCACTATTACACTCTCATTGCCCTAAAAAAATGACCTGTGCTCCATCTATTCATCACTCCCTCCCTCCCCATGAACAGCTGGCAACACTGATCTTTTACTGTCTCCATAGTTTTGCCATTCCTGGATGTCATCATATAATTGGAATATACATTATTAGCCTTTTCAGGTTGGCTTCTTTGATTTAGCAATATCCATTTAAGGTTCCTCTGTGTATTTTCATGGTGTGATAGCTCCTTTCTTTTTAGTGATGAATAATAGTATTTTATTATACGAATACACCAGTTTATTCATTTACTTACGAAAGAACATGTTGGTTGCTTCCAAGTTTGGGCAATTTCAAGTAAAGCTACTATGAATATTTCTGTACAGGTTTTTGCGTGGACAAATATTTTGACTCGGGTAAATACTAAGGAGTATGATTGCTGGACAGCAGTGAGAGTATGTTTAGTTTTGTAAGAAAGTGTCAAAATGACTTCCAAAGTGGCTGTACCATTTTTCCTTCCCACCAGCAAAGGAGAGCTCCTGTTGCTCCACATCATCACCAGCATTTGGTGTTGTCAATGTTACAGATTTTAGTCATTCTAGTAAGTATGTAGTGGAATCTTACTGTTAACTCGCAATTCCCTAATGACGATGATGTCAAATATTTTTTTCACATGCATGTTTGTCACCTGTATGTTTTTTGGTGAGGAGTCTGTTCAGATCTTTTGCCCATATTTTAATTGGGTTGTTTTCTTATTGTTGGGTTTTAAAAGTTCTTTGTATAATTTGGATATGAGTCCTTTAACATACATGAGGTGTGATCAAACAATATGGTGAATGTTTAAATTTTTAAAAATGTATTATAGTAAAAGACATATTGCCATTAATCCCCCTCAAAATACTCCCTCTCGAACACACTTCTTATTCCATAATTCTTGCCAATTTCTGAAGCCGTCCTTGAAGTTCTCTTTTGTGAGTGTCTTTAGTTGTGCTGTCTCTTAATTTTAAATCCCCCTTACCTTGATATAAAAAATATTTCCTGTTACCTAGTTTTCCTATAAATGTTAAAAATGGGTTGGAAATTAGGAATTCTTATAGTCATTCTCCTATCTTATAATAACTAGTCACCATCAATTGCTAGTGTTTTTACTTTTTAAAAAAACCATTATCTCTACTGTTATATGAATTAATCATTCTAATATAACTCAAAGATTTCTTTACTGCTGCTATATTAAGCAATGGGTGATGTTATAGGAAAGTGATAATATCGTCCTTACCTCAGGCCTCAGAGAAGGAAGAATGACAATTTCTTGCAACGCTTGTTTTGCCAATTCTTGACCAGCTATATCTTCAAATTTAACAGCTGTTCCACTAAGAAATAGAATTTCAGTTATCTCCACAATAGAAATGTGCTTCAGTTATTATATTATGAAGTCTAAGCTCTATGAAACAGACATTTTTTGTTAACTTACTGTGAAATATAGTTAAATCAGTAAAGCAATCGTTTTCTACATTTATAGTAACTGAAAACATAAAATTACATAAAATTAAATATGTAAATTTGATAAGGTATTTATTATCTATTTCACAGATGATATATTTTATAAATAAAACTGAAAAATAAAAACTGCAAAATAAAATACTTTAGATGGCAAAACTTACTTGTCCACAATTTCATTCATTATAAGGTTAGCAAGGTTGCTGTCCACGTTCCGAAAATTCTTCATGTCTTTCTTTTTACGAGCAGCAGTTGTAGGGGTGGAAGGTTTATTTGTTCGATTTGTTTTTGGTGTACTCTTAAAGGACACGAAATTTTAATGTGAAAATACAACCTAGCCTTTATACTTTTCGCAAGTGAATTAACCTTCAAGTTCACAGAATTAAAGGTTTAAAACTAGGAAAAATAATACAAATATCCCCCAAATCTATATTTACTCCAAGGTAAAAGGTATTCACTATAGAACTACATTTGCCTTAAAGTGGGTTTATAGAGGATTTTGTCCAGAGAGATTTAGCTACTATAAAATAAAAAGGCTCTATGACAATACAGTCATGTAATTTTGATCCTTGTTAGAATTGTAACAAAAATCTAGGTATGTTTAATGTCACAGAACATTTACATAGATCTAAATAATTTTTAAAATGACAAATGTAAAATGAACTACATAGCATTATATAACAGATTGGATAAGCAAACTTTGTATAAAAAAGCCTAATTAGTCCAAAAGGAGGTAAAATAAGATTTGCTTTTTTTTTTTTTAGTTTGTTTTTTAGTGTTTTTTTTCCAGGATCCATCAGATCCAAATCAAGTAGTTGTTTCATTCATAGTTGTGGAGGGTGCAGCTCAATGGCCCATGTGGGGGTCAAACCGGCAATCTTGGTGTTATGAGCACTGCGCTCTAACCACCTGAGCTAAACGGCTGCCCCAAGATTTGCTTTTTAACAGCAAGTTGCCCTTGTAGATTTTAAAAACAGAAAAATTACATTCGACTTTGTGGAAACTTATCAATTCTTTGAGGTATTATAAAGTACTTTGAAATAAATTTAAGTAGGCATATCATGTTCAAAATTTTCTACGTGCAAGGCAGAGCAATTAAGCCATTAAATTCTGTCTACAAATACCTTATGAGTGGCAGTTGCAGGACCAGGTCCCTGTCTCACTCCAGAAACCATGGATAAACCACTGCAACTGGGTGCTCTGTGATGGCCTGAAAGGCTTGTGGATCCACCTTTCGTAACTGTTTTTGAACGAGGCAGTGAATTACTAGTGTGTGTTAAGGGATCTTTTCTTTTCGGAACTGCTCCACTTTCTATTAAGGAAATAGTAAAATTATCATGGTTAGAAAATTGTGGCTAAACATTATAAAAGTAATAATAAAGACCAATACAAATTTGCAAAATTAAGCTAATATTTTTTTTACTTCAGCAATATTTCAAAATAAGATTTCAATCAGAATATATATACTAGGGTGTTCATAGGGATGGCAATTGGGTGAACAAGGTTATGGTTATTTAAGTTTTTCTTTTCTTGATGTATATTCTAATTTTCTTATTGTACAGAGGGAAAAAAATAGCACTGCATTACCTTGGTTCCAAACTTTTAAGACTATAAAATAGTATGAAAGTCCACGATCTGTGCCCATGAAAAGAGTTTTAAAAAATAATCAGTTTCTAACATTGAGTGTCAACTATAATTATGTGTGTGTGTGTGTGTGTGTGTACACACACACACACACATATATATATAGTCACGAGATGTAAAGTATGGCATAGGGAATACAGTCAATGGTACTGTAATAGCTATGTACGATGTCAGAGGGGTAGTAGACTCAGGGGGTTATCACTTTGTGAGGGGCGTAAATAAATGTCTTATCATTATGTTGTTTTATACACCTGAAACTAATAAAAAATAATCAATTTTTAAGTTAAAGCGTATAAAGATATAGTCTTTAATATGTCAAGTATTTTATGTGCTGTATATGTGTAAATTAATATGTATAGAACACCTTCAATTAAGTGTAAACGATTACCTGACTTACCTACAGGGCTCTTCTACATAAATTACAGGCTTTTAAATGTCAAATCTCACTGCTTCCAAATAATATTTTTATAAACAATGTTAACTGTGAAGACAAATGTTAAATCAGTCAGCAAATTACAGTAGCTTAGAGAAAAGACAAAAGCCTTACTTTTGCTTTTGTCATCAACTCCCTTAATATGGTTTAGTGAAAATCAAAAGATGGGAAATTTCAAGTAGGGTAAGAAGATCAAGAAGTTTTTCCAGTAAATGAATGTAAAGTTCTGAAACATATGTTCAAAAAACTAGTGGATGGTGACCCTAAGGGAAGAAGCAGGGGGCAATCCAGAAAAGGGAATGAGAATTAGCAAAAGCAAAGATGTGAATGAAAGCAAGATCTGTCTAGGATGAAGATAAATATTCACTTCAGAGGAAAAAAAGCCAACAGGAGAATTTCTTCAGACAGAAATATACAGTCCTGAGACTGCAAATGGATAGAAATTTCCGCATGGAACTATGAGAATAACAGCAGACTTTTTGTAACAAAATAACAAAGGTCAGTAGGCAATGGAGTATATTCTAAATGCTGAAGGAAAAGAAGTGTTAACCCACATCAATTCTGTATCCAGATGACTTATCACATAAGAATGAGGGTTATTTTCAAACATTAGAAGTAGTTAAGAGAGTTTACTATCTACAAACCCACATTAAAAGAACTAATAATGGAGGTCTTTTTGTTAAAAAACATATTAAACACAGAAAAGAGTAAAAAAAACTGTAATATAAAATTAGAGAAAAAGGAAAATCTCGAAATATGTGGGGAGGAATAAGTCAAAAAAGTATAATTAGAATAAAATACGATGGTTTTGGGCAAATAGTATTTACTAAGTCTTAATAGTGTTAAATATGATTTTAAAATGTAACTAAAAATAGAAATATATATGTTGGGAGACAAAGGGCGGCATAAGAGAATTAAACCTTCTTCCACCTGAATAAGAAGTCAATACATATCAAAAACTGATAAATCAAGAATAGTATTTAAAAACTACAATTTAATGAGTTTATCAAGATGTATATAATGGTGAAATAGCCACTAAAGTCAAGTTATGAAATATTTCCATCACACCCCAAAATTTCCTTGTATCTATTTGCATAGCACTCCACCCCTATTACTGTCCCTGGCCCTTTCTGACAATAGAGGAATCATTTGACTTAGCAATTTCTATTGATCTGGGTTCAAGATCACTGAATCTTTCATTTGACATCTCCAGTTGCTGTTGAAGCTATCTGGCAAATTATTTCAGCAACGGTATTTTTAAATTTTAGAATTTTCATTATTTTTAGTGTGTAGTTTATATTATCCATTAAGATTGAAGGTTTGTTAATTGATACCATATTTTCTTTTACTGCTTTGAATATATTTATATTAGCTGCTTTGAAGTCTTAGTCTGCTAATTCAACATCTGGGTCCAGTCAAGAGTCAGTTTCTTCTGATGTTTTGTTCTTGAATAAGGGTCATACTTTCTTATTTCTTTTCATGTCTAGTAATTCTGAGTAGAAAATTGGACATTGTAGATAACACACTGAACTAATAAGTAGACGTTGGCATAAGTATTTCCTAAGAGAGATAAGTAACTCATCCCAGTGAAACATCACAGACTGTGGGTGACACTAATAAACTAGACTTCAGTGAGCCAGCTCATTCATTAGTAACAAACACCAGTGCTGCATAAATTAGCTGTGAAGTCAAAATGTTCCCCCAACCACAAAACAGAATTAATAGAACAGAGACATTATTAGGGATTTGAAATAAGATAGTTGGGTTTTTTTAATAGGTCCCAGAAAGAGAAAGTTGCTTTTAAAAAATTTTTGCATTTTAGAAAAATACAGTGGGATCTACCCATGCAGAATGAAGTAGAAGAAAATCAAGATAACAGAAAAACATACCAGTTCTTCGAGGCTAGAAATTTTTGCTGTTTATCCAGGTAGGATTATTAGGATTATTATGCATTTTGGGAACTTAACTATTTATATGTGGTGCATTCTTACATTTGTTTGTTCAAAAGTTCTTTATGAAAATGTTAATTCTTCACAGTTATGCTAAGAGAAATAGGCAAAATACTTATCTCTATACTTGAAATGGTATTTTAAATCAGGTAGAGGAGGAAATGAGAAAAGGAATACAGCTACTGACGTGGGGCTTACACTGGAAGACCAAACCAAAGTGAGGGATAAGGTGAAGCCGTAGGGAAAGAGTTAATGACAAACTGTCCATAGAAATCTACTTACTCCATCTGTTCTATACTTAAACATTTTATATTACATATGAATACGTAATACTATAAGACAGTTGTCTTATAGTCTGAACTAAGGGTTTTGGTTTTTGTTTTTGCTACAATTTAAATAAAGAAGCATTTACTTCAATAAAATGTAAGCCCCATGGACATGAAACTAATGCTGAAAAAGTCACCAATAAAACTAGCCAAGATATCAGACAAACAAAGATTCTCCCCACCAAACGAAACAAAACAACATTTAATGTTCTATAAGAGTTGATACTACAAAGTTAATGAAATACAAACTTAATCCATAATAAATAATATAGCATTCTAATGTTTCTCCTCACTATGTGAACTGAGCTTCAAATTATTTCTAACAAGTACTAAGATAAAACATTCAACTATAGTATATATGAAAATTGATATGCAATGAAAATTTATATACAACAAAGAAAACTTAAAATTTCTGTCTTACAAAACACTACTTCATAAAATCCTGGTATAGCTATCCATGAAATAAAAAAACACAAAAGCTAAAAATACAACAGAAAGTTTCAATAATTTAGGAAAATGAACCTTCATGTTTAATAATCTCAAAAA